ACTGCAAAGCGCAACGTTGCAAAGCTCATTTCTACAACCCTAGTCACCAATGACAGTGCACCACCATACCCCTTTGCTCACCAGTTCAAACAAACTACCGCCCTCGAGTCAGAAGGCTGTCCTCATCGTCCAACACACAGCGGTAACATCACCCCAGGACTTCAGCCCTCCGGTGATACCTGGTTCAGCGAAGACTATGCCTTGGGGAGTGTTTACGGCTCTGTCACCAAAACAGCATTGTGGCAGAAGTATGGAACACCAGCATATACATGTAATGTATCAGGACCTTCACAGGGTAAGGAAAGATTAAACTAAAATGTTTGAAAAAGCCTAACCCTACTGTACAGAGTTATTTCAAGCTCCTCCTGATAGATGGCTGACCTCGGCCACTACACTATTGATTCCCACAAAATTGGCACACCTGGAGTAAATTGACAATTCTATGACATATCTTTTTGCTTTGAAAATGTTACATTAGGGTTGCATAGACAGAATACTTTTTATGTCAAATGCGTTTATTAAGAAGGTGAACACTTTTAAAAAAGAAAAATTCAGTACTGTTCATATTCCTAATCTTCAAATGATTTTTTTTATTTCACTTCATATAACTTCTTCAGATGACTGCAAAGCGCAACATTGCAAAGCTCATTTCTACAACCCTAGTCACCAATGACAGTGCACCACCATATCCCTTTGTTTACCAGTTCAAACAAACTACCGCCCTCGAGTCAGAAGGCTGTCCTCATCATCCAACACACAGCGGTAACATCACCCAAGGACTTCAGCCCTCCGGTGATACCTGGTTCAGCAAAGACTAGGCCTTGGGGAGTGTTTACGGCTCTGTCATCATAACAGCATTATGGCAGAAGTAAGGAACACCAGCATATACAGGGTAAGGAAAGATTGCCAAACTAAAATGTTTGAAAAAGCCTAACCCTACTGTACTGAGTTATTTCAAGCTCCTCCGGATAGATGGTTGACCTCGGCCACTACACTGTTGATTCCCACAAAATTGGCACACCTGGAGTAAATTGGCAATTCTATGACATATCTTTTTGCTTTGAAAATGTTACATTGGGGTTGCATAGACAGAACACTTTTTATGTCAAATGCGTTCATTAATAAGGTTAACACTTTTAAGAAAGAAAAATTGAGTAATGTTCATATTCCTAATCTTCAAATGATTTTTTTAAATTTCACTTCTTGAGATAACTTCTTCAGATGACTGCAAAGCGCAATGTTGCAAAGCTCACTTCTACAACCCTAGTCACCAATGACCGTGCACCACCATACCCCTTTGCTCACCAGTTCAAACAAACTACCGCCCTCGATTTAGAAGGCTGTCCTCATCGTCCAACACACAGCGGTAACATCACCCCAGGACTTCAGCCCTCCGGTGATACCTGGTTCAGCGAAGACTATGCCTTGGGGAGTGTTTACGGCTCTGTCACCAAAACAGCATTGTGGCAGAAGTATGGAACACCAGCATATACATGTAATGTATCGGGACCTTTACAGGGTAAGGAAAGATTGCCAAACTAAAATGTTTGAAAAAGCCTAACCCTACTGTACAGAGTTATTTCAAGCTCCTCCTGATAGATGGCTGACCTCGGCCACTACACTAGTGATTCCCACAAAATTGGCACACCTGGAGTAAATTGGCAATTCTATGACATATCTTTTTGCTTTGAAAATGTTACATTGGGGTTGCATAGACAGAATACTTTTTATGTCAAATGCGTTCATTAGTAATGTTAACACTTTCAAAAAAGAAACATTTAGTACTGTTTATATTCCTAATCTTCAAATGATTTTTTTTATTTCACTTCAGATAACTTCTTCAGATGACTGCAAAGCGCAACGTTGCAAAGCTCATTTCTACAACCCTAGTCACCAATGACAGTGCACCACCATATCCCTTTGCTCACCAGTTGAAACAAACTACCGCCCTCGAGTCAGAAGGCTGTCCTCATCGTCCAACACACAGCGGTAACATCACCCCAGGACTTCAGCCCTCCGGTGATACCTGGTTCAGCGAAGACTAGGCCTTGGGGAGTGTTTACGGCTCTGTCACCAAAACAGCATTGTGGCAGAAGTATGGAACACCAGCATATACATGTAATGTATCAGGACCTTCACAGGGTAAGGAAAGATTGCCAAACTAAAATGTTTGAAAAAGCCTAACCCTACTGTACAGAGTTATTTCAAGCTCCTCCGGATAGATGGTTGACCTCGGCCACTACACTGTTGATTCCCACAAAATTGGCACACCTGGAGTAAATTGGCAATTCTATGACATATCTTTTTGCTTTGAAAATGTTACATTGGGGTTGCATAGACAGAACACTTTTAATGTCAAATGCGTTCATTAATAAGGTTAACACTTTTAAGAAAGAAAAATTGAGTACTGTTCATATTCCTAATCTTCAAATGATTTTTTTAAACTTCACTTCTTCAGATAACTTCTTCAGATGACTGCAAAGCGCAACGTTGCAAAGCTCACTTCTATCTACAACCCTAGTCACCAATGACCGTGCACCACCATATCCCTTTGCTCACCAGTTCAAACAAACTACCGCCCTCGAGTCAGAAGGCTGTCCTCATCGTCCAACACACAGCGGTAACATCACCCCAGGACTTCAGCCCTCCGGTGATACCTGGTTCAACGAAGACTAGGCCTTGGGGAGTGGTTACGGCTCTGTCATAAGAGCATTGTGGCACAAGTAGCCTCGATCTCGACCAAGACATTTTGAATGCCACTCTGTATGGCTCAGCATACTTTTTTTTTCTTTATTCATACTAACGTGTGTTCATGTCCATTTTTCCACCTCTGATTCTTACATTTATTTTCTGATACCATGTTTCTGTGTGATTTTAGTCTTATTTTTACTGGTATGACAATGTAAACATATACCTTTGTTCCACACAAGATATTTTGGGATTTTGTGTGCACTTCCATGTAACTACATGTATTTTTATATGATAGTTTTTGTTTCTGATTGTTCAATTCCTTTTACGCTCTCATTCCTTTATAGTTGTATCTTATTTGAGACAGAGGAAGAGAGAGGGTGAATAGTAGAGAGAGAGGGGGATGCAGAAACAAAGCGCCATTTATGATGTATTTTATTACATTTGTGTTTTAACTTTGCACATACATTGCAAGATTTTGGGATTTAACACGTTTATTTTTCTGTAAGTTTGTAAATCCTTGTATTCACACAGTGTTTTGAGTGATATATTGTAAAGATAGATCTTATGCATGCTCCTTGGGGAAAAGAAGTTATACATGCATGTCACTCTTCTTATCTTGGCATTACCGTAATTCTTATATTGGTTGATGTTGCTGATATATGAAACAGAATCTGATGGATATCATTGATAACAGTTACTGTTTGTCTTCTTTTTAACATCAGGATAACAGATCTTAGTAGTACAGCGAAAGACAATTCACTGTAATTTGTTATATTGTCATATATTACACGATTATGATTTTCAATGGCACATGTTTGTACACTACAATTTTATGTCATTAGAGGTCACATATCCAGTTTGTTTCGTGAATAGTCAATATTGGATTATGATTATAATGTCAGTTTATTTGCAACATTTACCCCATATATAGTGGTATCTTACGATCAACTGTCAATATCTACTGCATTCACTATACATAGCAGTGTCTTGCTTGCTGTAACAAAGAGGTATATAGGGCTGTTAGGGATTATCCATAATGTACATTGTTTTTTAGTTTTTATTGTTATTGTGTTTATCTGAACTTATGTTGTTTATGTACCTGTTTTATATATGTATTCCATTTCTGTTGAATATATATACATGTTAAAATGCCCTTTTCAGAGATTTGTACAATGCTGCTCTTTTCAGTATGTGCTTTTATTTTGGTATATCAAATTTAATTGGATATGCTGTTTTTAAAATTTATTTCTTTTAAAATGTGTTCGAAGATGATAGGTGATTACCATTTGTAACATTGCATTGCGGTTCTTTTTTAGATCGCCAAGGAAATAGCGTGATGTTAAGTTTGGTGCAGAATGTCATTTACATGCATGTAGATAGGTCTATGCAATTTAGCTTTGACTTTGGTTAACAATGAATAGACCTGTTTACTAATGTACTTCATTTTATGTTTCTCTCTATAGTACATGGTAGGGGGTGAAACAAGAATACAAAGGTTAGAAGGAAAAGTTAAAGAAGATTGGGGTTCAATGGCACATGTTTGTACACTACAATTTTATGTCATTAGAGGTCACATATCCAGTTTGTTTTGTGAATAGTCAATATTGGATTATGATTATAATGTCAGTTTATTTGCAACATTTACCCCATATATAGTGGTACCTTACGATCAACTGTCAATATCTACTGCATTCACTATACATAGCAGTGTCTTGCTTGCTGTAACAAAGAGGTATATAGGGCTGTTAGGGATTATCCATAATGTACATTGTTTTTTAGTTTTATTTTTATTGTGTTTATCTGAACTTATATCTCACTTGCTATGTAGGGGGCCTTTCATATAATCAGTAGGTATCTTGTTTATGTACCTGTTTTATATATGTATTCCATTTCTGTTGAATATATATACATGTTAAAATGCCCTTTTTAGAGATTTGTACAATGCTGCTCTTTTCAGTATGTGCTTTTATTTTGGTATATCAAATTTAATTGGATATGCTGTTTTTAAAATTTATTTCTTTTAAAATGTGTTTGAAGATGATAGGTGATTACCATTTGTAATATTGCATTGCGGTTCTTTTTTAGATCGCCAAGGAAATAGCGTGATGTTAAGTTTGGTGCAGAATCATTACATGCATGTAGATAGGTCTATGCAATTTAGCTTTGACTTTGGTTTGATAAGCTTTGTTTAGTGCTTTGAACATGAATTTAACAATGAATAGACCTGTTTACTAATAGACTTTATTTCATGTTTCTCTCTATAGTACATGGTAGGGGTGAAACAAGAATACAAAGGTTAGAAGAAAAAGTTAAAGAAGATTGGGGAACACTGGAAGACATAATAGAGGGAGAACGAGAGTCAGAGGCGGAATAGGGAGAGGGTGAGAGAGTATAACAAAAGAGAAGGGCAGAGATAGATCGAGACATCGCAAGGGAGAAAGAGGGAGGCAAGGAAGGAGTGAGACGAAGGAAGGGAGAGGGTGAAGAGTAGAGAAAGAGAGAGGGGGATGCAGAAACAAAGCAAGAGAGAGGGGCAGAACAAGAGAGGAGAAGGGGAACATAGCAAGAGAGAGGAGAAAGAGAAAGAGATGCAATCGAGGCACTCTACTAGCATAAATAGATTTGAATATTTACTATATAGAGAAAGGGAGAAGTTATATAGACATAGACAATGATGATCATGATGATAATGAACATGAAGGTGATGGTAATGATAATGTTAGATGATGATAATAATAATAATGTTAATGATGATGTTGATGATCATCAGACCATCACGATGATGATGATATTGATGATGATGATCATGAGCGTGATCCTGACATCTGATTGAAAAAATGAGGGGACATTTAGATAGCATATAGTCTCAGCTACAACATGCTCAAATATATTTTAAAAAACAAGCGGAAATAACGGCGATATTGCTCTCAAAAGACAGGGATGTAGAATCCAGATTTGAGAAAAAGTCATCTCCCATATAGAAAAAGAGAGAAATTTTAACGATATGTAAATGTAAACAATGATCATAATGATGATGATGATGATGATGATCTTGATAGTAATGATTATGATGATGATTATAATGATAATGTTAATGATGATGATGATGATGATGTTGATGATCATGATCATGATCAGACCATGATGATGATCATGATCATGATGATCATGATGATGATCATGAGCGTGATTCTGACATCTGATTGAAAAGATGAGGGGACATTTAGATAGCATAGAGTCTCAGCTACAACATACTCCAAAATCAACAAAAACCAGGCGGAAATAACGGCGATATTGCTCGCAAAAGACAGGAATGTAGAATCCAGATTTGAGAAAAAGTCATCTCCCATGGGGATTACAGGCGAAAAGTAATGGATCAAGTGATAATAGGGTAATAATAAAGTAAATATGGTTGTTTATTACATTATTTGCGATTCTACGTGTAGTAATGTGATATTTGCTATGTATATCCATCAGAAACTTGTCTGTACGAAACAGTGAAATACTGCCCTCTCCGGCAGAATAAAGTAAGCTTAGCAACGAGCCTAATGGCGTATACTTCTAGCAGTATTTACTTTCGTATTTATGGACATATAAGATACGACATTTGGCGACGAGGAAGGGATTCTCATTCCAGGACATCACTATGATGTTCCCCCTGCCCCTAACATTCACTCCCGACATCCTGCCCCCTCCAGTCGCCCTTCTCGTACCCGGCGACGGCCTCGATATTTGACAGACTATGTCTCATAGAACTATATTTCGGTTCCTCCCTTTTGACAGTACTCATAGTGTTTTGGTTACATGCATGTTTTGGATGAAATGCCTTCATCTCAGTAGCTAGTTTGACCCCCCCCCCCCCCAATGGTTGTTTATGCATTTTGTCATTCTGATGTTTGTCTTTACCGGTAATCTTTTCATACTGCTTCGCATCTACCAGTTCCACTCCATCACACTGATTGATACGGAATGTTTTTTTCCTAAATTCTTTTTTCAAGCAATTTTCAGTTGTGAGTTCAATAATGCAACAGTCTATTTTTTTATATAGAGATACTGTTCGAATGATGATGATTATTTTGATATGTTTGTCATTATTGTTCATTGAAAAGGGAGAGAGGAAGGATGGAAAGAGGATTAATATTTCACGAACAAAACAGATATTGTAAACAAACAAACAAAAAATGATTTAAATGTACGTACATGTATGTATGTCAAATTACTGTACACTGAAAGTACAAACATGATGTGTTTATTAGTAATTTCGTTCAAAAGCATTATTGTTGTATATTGTGTGGTACAATGTATTTTTAACTTGGACTGTTCTTTGCATCATTAGTTTCCAAAAGAAAAAGTACAAGAACAGAAATGATTTATTTTGGTTAATAACATTTATTTTATTGTCATGCTGTGCAAGTACACATATATGCACAACTTTGTTGCAAATGATGTTGAAATGCCAAATGTTGCACAATACTCTATTGTTTCAGTTTGGTGTTATAGCAGACCTCAATAAGGTGTTTTCAAGGTTGTAAGTGTTATGAAAGTTCTATTTGACTTTGTCTAGTATTTTGCAGTTCATGATTTCGACAAGGATTTTGTAATGTCAGGTTTAAGACAGCAGTCCTTTTATTGTTGTGTTTGCATTCAGTTGATCTCAAATATAACTAACCTCGTACGTATAGGATTTTACACAAATACAAGTGCTAACAACTCTCAGAAGAAAATAGCCAAATCACTCATATATATTTTGGTTGTTAGATTTGATCCAAACCGATTCAGCCGATACTGTATGTATTCAACAGGCTTAATGCACCTTCTCCAACATTATAGGAAACTCTATCTCAAAGAAGGGAGAGGTGTAGTAATGTGATATTTGCTATGTCCATCAGAAACTTGTCTGTATGAAACAGTGAAATACTGCCCTCTCCGGCAGAATAAAGTAAGCTTAGCAACGAGCATAGTGGCGTATACTTCTAGCAGTATTACTTTCGTATTTATGGACATATAAGATACGACACTACGTGTTTTAAAATTCAAAGGAGATTGTACAGTGAAAGGTCAAAATGAAAAAAAAGTGAAGAAAAAAATTGTTGGAGACGCCCGGACTCGAACCAGGGACCTCGAGGTCGGAAGTCAAGTGCGTTACCGATATACCAAAACATTTCCCATAGAGATTACACGTAAACGGAAAATGGAATTCTCAAATCCCACTTTGTAAGTGAAATATGAGCATGATCCCGGCATCTGATCGAAAAATAAAGGACACACTTGTGATAGCTTATTTTCTCAGCTACAACATACTCAAAGCTCAGCGTAAACAAAGATAAAACGACGGAGATATTGCTCGCAAAAGACGAGAATGTAGAATCCAGTTTTGAGAAAAAGTCATGTCCCATAGAGAATACACGCAAAATGTGAAAAATTGACATGCCTCCTTTAATCGCAAAAATACGCCATGATGCCATTGTCAAAATGAAATATCATGATGACTACATTTGTAGAAAATATTCTCAGGTAGAACATATCAAAATTTGAAAGAAAATTAATCAATATTTACAGAGATACAATCAATTTTACAAAAATATGCTGACGTCATAATATGCAAATTGAAATTTTGAGTTCGGAGGCCATTATGATGACGTCATGAGTTAAATGAGGGTCAAATGACACATGAAATCATATCTCCAACTCATACTTATTCCAACCATGATATAAAAGTTGGGGTCAATTGACTATCTCAAGAGCTATTTTGATTTTTAAAATGGGATGTTTTTGATCAAATTTGCATTATATTGCCCATAGCAGTACGCGCGGATTTTGAACTTTGACGCGCGCTCACGGCCTTATAAAAGGTCAAGAGTGACTGAAATTAATGTAAATTGTCATTTACGGTAAGAGAAATCTAAATCATGTAAAAAAAAATGAATTTGACCTTTTCCGCGCGTTGTGAGCGCGCGCAACGCGCGCGTTGACACTTACGGACGGAAAATTTTGAAATGCTTAAAATGACCTGATTCGTACTCTCCTTCAATAGTTAAGTAATTTTGAGCATTTTTAAATTTTGACGCGCACGTACGCGCGCGTCGTGACCTTTATGTGACCTTTGATGACATGATCTGTTGACCCTTGACCTGAAATATATGTGATATGAATATGAATGATCTTTGCTGATCCATCATGAAGATATGATGGATAACGTGATTTCACAAAATGGCGCCTGGATGACGTCACGATAAATTGATGACCTTGAAAATGTTCCTGTCACGTCTCATGACAATGACTTATGACTGTGTAAAAATTAAAAGAAATTAACACAACCGATCTTGAGTTAACCGATAAACAAAAAACGGGAAGAAATAAAAATAAATAATAATAATAATAAATAAATAAATAAAGAAAGAAAATTCTGACGAAAACAATAGGTGATCTGTCGAAAACGACAGACCACCTAATAAAATACATGAGTTTAAAAAAACAAGGAAATACTAAGGAATTATCAAAACAATAGATAACATAAGGAACAACCTGGCGCTTCCAAATTTTTATTGTTGTATTATTACCCCAAATGGTTTAAAGAATATATGTAGTAAAAATTAATGTTTAAATATGAAGAATATATGATTTATGGGTAAAAATGTGAATTTTATTACCTTATTTGCATAAATTACCATAAAAATGAAAAAGAGTGGATTTTTCAAACAAAATTGAAATTACCATAGTATTCTATACACTTCACTTGACATGCATGCAAATTTTCACGGCGATCCGCTGTTTCACGGCCGAGATCATAGGGGGGGGGGGGGGGGGCCTTAGAACCCCCCCCCCCCCCCCCCAGGGCTATGCAGTTTTTAAAAAGCCCAGGCTAGATAGGATTAAAGTAATGACAACAGTTGGTGGGTTTTTTAATGCATGTATCCAATTGAGTTAGTTAGAAAATTGTGAACCTTACTAATTTAAATTAAAATCAAATTCTTTATGCATGTTTTTTAAAACTTTTTTCTTACCGAAGAAGGTTAATTGAGCAGCATCCCGATATCCAAGATTCCCCAGTGCAACACAGAAATCGTGACGCCGATACACTTCATCATCCTTATATTGATTCAATAGATCTATCAAAAGACCAACAGTTCCCTTATCTGCTTTCTGAACTTCCTTCCGTCTGCTCGTGTCCATACCGAGAAGTGTGGCCAATGGTTCAACATCTTTGTATAGAATGTTGTATGCTAAACGAACCATCTCAGCCTGGTATACATGATGAGGAGGCAGCCGGCCGACAATGCATCCTTAAAGAAGAGAAATACGTGTTAGCCCAATAATAGAGTTTTTACGTTTATCAAAATTAGGAAGTCTTTAATCATGTTGATAATGATATGCATTGGAAATTTGTGAAAAAAAGTTGTACTTCTTCAGGAAATAATATTCCTGGTTGCTTGATTTTTCACTTCAGAATAAAGGCATTTCTTTTTTGGAGTTATAATATCGCTATGTTTCGTCATGCAAAGTTTTAGATGTTGAAAACTATTTTATTTTGGAATTATAAGGTAGCAATACTCCTTCCGGTGTCTAGAGTATTTAAATTTGCGTGGATAATTGGCACTTACAAATATTATGTATCATAATGATTGTGTTGAGCTTTAAAGGGACTTGGTAACATTGTTCAGATGAGAGAAAATGGTGCTAATTAAGTTAGTGACTTCAATGCTAGATGTAAAATTAAAGATAATCTGAAAGTTTGAGTGAAAACAGACCATTATTAACAATAAAAATTAGGAAAAACTGATCTGATTGATTCCTTAATTCTCCCAACTATATTATTACAATTCAATTACATGTTAGGTGAATGTAAATCGTAACATTAAAGCTATGAATTGGCTCTATCCCTAAATATATTTCTGATTGTAAGTCAATTAATTCCTTCAAAAAAAAGTTGAAGCAGTTTCTTTATATCAAATATGTAAAGTTACTTATCTTATGTTTATTATATCAAATATGTAAAGTTACTTATCTTATGTTTATACTTGTGTAATATGTTTTTTGTTTTTTGTTTCTTTTTATTTAATGTTCGTTTTTTTTCTTCTTATTTTAAATCTTTGCTTTACATTATGCTTTGAATGCTTTGGGAACTATGTGTGTACAAGGCCTAAGGGCTTTATTTATGTAGTTCCCCATTTCATTTCTAAATTTGTTCATGAATAATTTTGTACCTTTTGTATCAATGTAATTTTTAATCGAGAATGAAATAAATGCGAATTCAATCATTCCAGTCATTTAAGTGTTGAAGATTTTTTAAATCCTGTCTAATGTCTTATTTTCATGGAAAAACAGTTGGGAGAATTTACTGTTAGGTGTTAACCAGTGACACCTTCAAAGAAAACCATAAATATCTTTGTGATTTGAGAATTTGTTCAGGATTTTTTGCATGCTAGAGGGTTAGTAGCAGAAGGAATATAATAAGTAACATTTCATACAAAAATTACGCAGTTTTTTCATCAACCTTCAACTATGTTACCGGTTCACTTTATTATCATTATCAATCCTGGAAGAGAAGTACAAACCTGATAATCCCGATTCATGGAGTGCTTTTCTCAGAGCCTCACGGCATGTCCCTATTTCATGATTATCCCTCCAACCTTTCAGGTATTGTAGAAGCGATTTATTCCGTTCGTTTGTTGTATCTATGCCAAGCCTTGAAGTGAGATCTTGCACAAGTTCACTAGGGATGTTTTCAACCAAGTTCTTCAGTTCTCCATCTGTAACTTTGATTACTGCAAACAATACATGTAAATGACAACCACATAGGGGAACACGTTATTAAAATGTCAGTTATACCGTTTTACTTCTCTGTAGGTGCGAAGTGTCTGAAGCAAGAATTTCAAATTACTAAATTAGAACAAGAAAAAAAAATCCATAAGTGAAACGTAAACTTCTGTAACATGGTAATTATTTGTTTTCTTTTAACCCTTACTGTACTGGGGGGGGGCCTGGGAGGCCCCCCCCCTCGACATTTTCGGAGATTGCACCGCAACCGCTCGGAATTTTGAATTGTCGTTTCATGACTTTTTTCCCTCAAGTCTTACGCACATTTTGATACCATTTTCGTCAAAATCGGATATACCTGTAAGGCGTTACATAACAATTAGTATGCGCATGTCATTAAAAAAAAAAAAAAAATTAAAAATCCATCAAAATTTGCATAAATTATCATTATTAATTACATTAAAATAACTTTTTTGTGTTAGAAAAGAAGTTTCATATGAATAATGAGTTTCAACATTCAAAAAGTGGAGTTTGACACGTTTTCTGTAAAATGCATAAAATTAGCGCATTTTGCATAATTAATTAGGCTAACGACAAAAATTTGCATATTCGGAAAAAACTAATTATACCATCTTGTTCCTTACGTAAATATCTACAAACATGCAAATTTTCGTGTTCATCGGACAATCGACGGCCGAGATCATAGGGGGGGGGCCTCCCAGGCCCCCCCCAGTCAGTGGGTGCTCAAAATAGCCCAGTACAGTAAGGGTTAAAGGAGAATTCCCTGTTGAGAAGGATTAGCTGGATAACTGATTTTGCCATCATTCACAATCATAACAAATGTATCTTTGCAAGTATTTACCATTACTGTACTTACTGTCGTTCAGCACATCTTGGTAAATCGAGACAAGATCCTGCAGGACACATGCTTTAGTATCACTCATCTGTTTGTCCCTCCAATCACGCAGCCTCTTTTCAAGATCGTCACTTTCCTCGTCAACTGTGATGCCAAGCTTCTCAAAAAACAAATGCAGTGCATCTGATGGGAGATGTTTCAGCAAGACCGCCAGATCGTCATCGAATACACTGCTGCTATCTGTAAGATCAGACAATGTTTTAAAAATTGCATCATCGACTTTGAATGGTTAAAGTGCGGGCCAGACATTATTTGAATCTACCGGTAAGACTTTCAAAGAGTTAGAATATTCAGGAATCATGTGGGGTTTCTCTTAAGTTACGAAGAAATCCTATTAACACTTCTCTTTTTTTTAAAAGTAATTTTCTCTGTATTTCGAAGGGCTAGCTATCACTTCTTCGCTTTGCTGATATTACAGCAACATATCTAGTCAGACCTTTGTGTGAGGTACAAACCACTGCGTGAAAATATGAATGATGAAATCAACTATTTTTTAGTGGATGAAAATGTCGGCTTAGCACATACATATCAGATTTCTATATCACGTATTATTATGACATATGAAAGAAATCATAATTGTAAGAAGAATGTTCTTTCCTAGAATAACCCCTAAAATAAAAATAAAAAACAGTTGACCGATGTACTTACTGAACGCCTTTGCATCAGGGTGTGGTCCTACTACTTCATTTCCTGTTTCAACTCGATAGGACGTTGTCTTGAAAAAATCTGAAACACCGATAATAGTACCATGAACCGTTTTTGCCCGATGTTAAAAACAGGGTACTTGCAAAAATGTACAGGCATTTGCGCAAAAAATAGAAGAAAAAAAATGAAATTAACATTCTTAAACAATTACCATGAGCAGCTTCCCTTATGATCCAGAAACAAACCGAATGACAAAAAAATTATATATTTTTTCAACAAAATTGCCCAAATAATAACAAAAAGCATACAATTAATGTTTGATGAAATCGATCTATAAAACTTGCCGCTCAGACCCCAAATAATTTCATGACGATATTCGACAGTTTTCAATAAAGGTACAAGCTACATATCCGCCCTCCAATTGAAAAGACAAGAGCATGCGCACATGTACCTTGAAAATCTTGATATTTCGTTATCAGTGAGGTCTGACAAGTGCTGATTCAGAAATGAATTTGTTGATGTTATATAACATTCACTGTATATCTACATGTATGTACTTTTAATGCCCTGCATTTTCCAGTAAAATGGAATTGTCCTGGGCTATTGTTCTCCTTTGTTGTGCAAGTTTGAACAATAAAGTGATGTTTAAAAAACACAGGACCTTTGTAGTTATAATATACATTTTTAAGTTTGCGAAACCTCAAAGTTTAAACAAAGATCCACTAACAATGACCAAGCTTCACAGCGGACGGAATTTTTTTTTAACTACCGGTACTTTTTAAGTCGGAGAGCATTCCTTTTAATTTCAAGTTTGGGTTACCTCGAAGTTTATTGCGCCTGCATAGCACATAGTATCGAGTGATCGAGGACCCCGCTACTCAAATTTATCGCTCGTAGTTATAACTTTAGGCAATCCATGAGTCTACTCTGCGATGACTGCAGCGACGCCAATTGATAGCCCTTTTTCACATTAATATAATACAATACCTGTCATGTCATGGCGACCAATTTCGATGATAGCATCATCAAGCCTGCACCTTTTCTCGTAGTTGCTGCATTCATCTCCAGCAAGCCGTGCACTGATCATTCGACGAGTGTCAAAAAGATCTTCATTGTTATCATCGATTACAGCTTTAATCCCATTCTTGTCAGCGATGCATTCAGCTTTAGCAAGCCTCGTGCAGTGTCTTCCTGTCAAGTTGTAGACGAACAGTTCTACGTCTTGTGGGGATATCGCCTTCAGGAGATCTTCAGGAACTATTAAATTTTGGAAAAATGTTGTAACGTAATTAATTCATATTGCTCTTACAAAATAACTTTTTAATATTGTACAAAGTGTTGCTGCCTACAGTTGTGGCTACAATACGGAGATGGAGGCACATGTTCCTCTTTTGGTAAAGAAAGGATAACAAATGTATAAAGAGAGGAAATGAGAAGAGGGCAAATGAACATTCACCCCATCTCCTAGATCCAACCTAGCTATGTCATAAGTTATTCAAATACAGTATAAGACAAATTAGTTTCCAAATCGCATTTTAAAAGGACAAATTAATTTTAGTTCGAGATTATCAATAGATGCAATGCGTTATCACAACATTTATCGAATGCTCTATCTTCTAAAAGTATTTATATTGTTCTCTCAAGTTGACTCAAATATTGGATGATATGAAAAATTTCTAACATTCAACATGTTTAATAATTTTATTAAACACAGTTTTTAACTACTGCAGCTGTCCATTATTAATTTTCGTATGATATATATTTTTTATTGATCATAATCCATCATAAATTCATGAATATGAAATATAGTCTAAAAATGTGTAAAAATGGGCCAGAAGATGTTTTCCCGAAATATATCGCAAATTTGAAATTATAGTTCACAAAGCACTTACCCTGGAAGAAAGTCCTGGCAAGTTGTTTGCATGTAGCTCTTTCTAGAGCGAGACTCAACAGATAGTTCTGGTTTGCTGTCTTCATTCCGCCATGCCACCTTTCCAAATCCTTCTTGGCTTTAATAGTTGCAATGTTTCCTCTCTTTCCTGCCGATCTAGACAAAGTTACATTTCGGTCCGGGATGAGTTCAAGAAGAAAGCGATGAAGATCTCTTTCCTCACTAATGCTCCGTATAATGTGATCCAGTCGTTCTTCAGAAACCATTGCTGGTGTGTTTTGCAGGCGTACTTCAGTGTAATAAGGACAAAATTCATGATCATTGATTTACGTCTTTGCTCCAAAGGTTAGATTGCCTTAATTTAAAAAAATAATATTTTATATTTGTTATGCATACACTTGTTTTGAGAAGCTTCATATATTTAAAGCAGCTCATTGTATATTCAACTATTGGAAGATCATGAATTTGTCAACTGGATGTTGCAGTGCAACATTTCTGACAATACGATACAATCCAATGTAAAAAAAAATTCTCTCTCTTTTAATGATATAATACTTCACGTACACATTTTATATTTTGTTCACTGTAGAAGAAAACGAAACTTACCGTTATAACAGTTCCATGGATTGCGAATTCCACATTTAGTTAAAGCTCTCATCAGTGGGAGTGCTTCATTTTCATGATTGTTAGTTTCTTTCCAGTCACAAAGTAAGCTATAGGCCCTATCTTGCGTTAACTGTTTTTCAACGCCAGTAATGCCGAGGTCGATGATTGCATTTGGCAGCTTTGCCAAATCAGACTCATCCATTTTTTTCACTAGACACCACAATTCATAGTAGGATATCTTTCCTGTGAAAAACAACAACAACAACAATTATATATCTTACGAACAGTGTTAAAGATATGCATCAGTGTCTATTTCATTAAAAGCTTTAAAAAGTCAAAGTGAAATAATGAAATAGGTTCATTACAAGGAAAAAAAAGAAAGTAGGATGAATTTCATTTTTAAGCCTGACGTGAGAGCCACGTAGGACCACATGGAGAGAAGCTAGGGCTCCATGGCACATGCACCTCTTCGTCCCACCTACAACAAAATTTGGGTACCAGCTATAGGGTAATTTCGAGGTGTTGAATTCAAATACAAATGTTGCCACGCGTAAAACTCATGCGTTTTCACGATTAAGGCTTATAATTACGCCATTGTTTACCAAATGAAATATTGCAATGTTATATAATATTCAATATTACCCTCCTAGCCCTATAATGCGATGTCCGAAAGCTAGATAATAAATCACATTAATATTTTAACAAATTTGATTAAATTGGCTCATTCATGCAAATTTATGTAATTTGTCTTTGGGTGAGCACTGGGGTATTTTCGGTGCTAAATTTAAATAGGAATGTTGCCAAGCATAACACATGCACACTTTCCCGATACTGAGGCTTGATTATGCAAATTTATAGGAACTGAAGATATTGTATTTTTACAAATATAACAATCAATATAACCCTCTCATTCCAACTTTTATTGAAAATTAATACTATGTAAATTTTAAAAGATGCTATCATTCAGGTTATTTGATGCAAATTTATGTAAAATGAAAGTGATCAATAATGATAATAATGGTGGCTTCTTATAAAGCGCACATGTCTGTCACATCGTGACGCGTCTGAAGCTCCAACATTATTACCACGGTCTTAGCTCTGGCATTATCAGGTACCCATTTAAACCTTGATGGAGAGTGGCAAAATTGGATTAATGTCTTGCCAAAAGGATGTTAGTGTCAGGCCCGGCCCCCCCACTCAGTGTTATTTAGGGTACGCATATTCGTGTTCCAAGCGACCCCCCCCCCCCCTTTTCAGCAAAAGTCCGGTGTGTAAAGTCAATAAGGGTCTACCTTTTTCTTTTATGTACAAGCCTTTTTCAGCACCCCCCCCCCCCCCCCTTTTCAGCAAAAGTCTGGTGTGTAAAGTCAATACGGGTCGACCTTTTTCTTTTGTTACGAAAAGGACATTTTGGTAACACGCATGGGGTCCGTCCGTTCTCGGAGTGGGGGGGGGGTGTCAGGGTGGGATTCGAACCATTACCCTTGGATTGAGAGTCCAGTGAATGAACCACTATATACACTACACCTCCATCAAGAGAAAAAAGAGTTTAAAGGATAATTTTCTTTGTCAATAAGACTGTGTAAACTATATATGGGTGAAAGTAACCATTAAGGACAGTATATACTGTAACCATTAATCTTGTTCATTGACATTTGTTAAAATGGTTGAGTGACAAGATAAATAAATAGCACTTGTCTTTATTTGTTTCTTCAGTAGTTACTTATTTTAAACAGATAATTTGCAAATGCGTGCAAATTAATGCATTTGCTTGAATTAGAAAATGAGAACCAACTTCATCATAATAGACTACATTAGTGATGCACTTTACATGCATATAAACTTAATGTGCACATGCTTCTCATATGCAACTATTGAATTACTAACTCTCAAATTGACAATGCTTCTCTCAAGTTCTCTGACACATTGTAAATTCCAAATATCTACTGTGGAGCTATAATACAATTAAGGCGATCGAGCGACATAGTTCCTCCTATGTTATTCAAGTATATGTAGACGGCTCCAACTTTAACAGGGAAATGGTGTTAACCTTTATTTGAATACGGATTCGAAGTAAAACTTAATGCTTAAAATGATGCCACCGACTGATTTTTTAAAATCGGAGCCCAAAGTACCCACATTTTATTTTGTTAAAGGCCCACCAGTATTTTTAGGTATAATGAATAGTTTGGCAGATATTTTTTTGTGTGTACAAAACCTATATGAACATTATACTGAAATATGTTAAAGCCACTTAAAGGTCGTATCAGGACAATTACCACCTTGGACAATCACCGCCCAGAAAATCTCCCCCCCACCAAGAACAACCACTCCCGAGGACAATAACCCCCCCCCCCCCCAGGACAATTATTCCCCCCCCCCCCAAAAAAAAAAAACAGTCTTAAGAAATATCTGTTTAATTTAGCTTATAATTGATTACCATTATCTTTCATGTCTGTACCTTTCCTATCGCACTTTGTATAAATGTATCATGTATGTATTTCATCTTTTGCACAAGCTGCGCCTTGAGCATTTGACTGTCAAGTGGATTTGGCGCCTTATAAATCATATGTATTATTATTATTATTATTATTATGGAAACAAATTTGTTTGCATGAAAAGGTGAAGTTTTCAAAAATGTGCGTTTCTTTCCAGCATTAGGGTATCCGCCATCTTCGTTAGTCCTCTGTTTTTTCACCGCTTTTTTCTCAACGACAGGCCAGGCTGGAATTCTTTAAATTTGTGAACTGAAAAGATCGAGGACTAATCAGAATGGCGATGTGTGCAGTAAAGCATATCTCCAAGCATGTTCATCGGCCACACGTTGATCTGTGCATTGTGAATGGGGATGAGCGTTCTACGTATTTTACAGTTCTATGTGCCCGTGACCCCTGCACTCAACACTGTGATGTGGTCAACTTCCTCCATATGTCCCTAAAAATTACACCCTAGGGAAATTACCCCCCCCCCCCTCCCCATTCATTAAAGGGGAAGTATACCATAATAAGTTGGTTTTAGGCGTTTTGTTCGGGAGGTTAATTGTACGAGAATCCTTTTCAGGACTGCTCAATCCTCCCTTCTCTCTCACATGGTGCACCCGCAAGCCTACTGTATATCTACATCACCATGCAAGCCGACACTTTAATACAAGCAGCATCTTTTGATATCTATTCGCCAAATACGACTCTATCCATTCAAGAACAACACCATCTATGCTGAAACAGGTCTTTAAAGTTTCTGATAAGCAAGAATGATCTATGGTGTCGAATACACTATACTTATAGATCTAATAAAAGTAAAAGAGTGATTTTCTGAGAATCCATCGCCTTCAAAAGATCACTCTTTATTCTTAGCAGTGCAGTTTCAGTACTATGGAATTGTCTATATGCTGACTGAGTACATGGCAAAAGTGAGTTGTTATTGAGGTGATCCATGACTTGTAGGGTGGCAGCACCTTCAACTGACTCGACATGTATTTCAGATTGCTGATAGGTCTTAAGTTCTTAAAATCTGCGTCAAGACCAGGTTTTTCCAATAAAGGTGTGATGAGGGCATTTTTCCATTGTATGGGAAAATGACCAGGTGAGAGAGAAAGATTAATCAATGATGTGAACACAGGAATTAATAAGTCGATACATTGTAGAAGTTTCATGGGCATAGGATCTAATGAGCATGACTTCTTACTGAGGTTAAGTGTAAGTTTGTTTTTTACTTGGTGCTCAGAAAGAGATTTGAAATTGCTCAAAACATCGACATCATGGTAAGTTGCTAATGGAGAATAAGTCCTGGGTTCATTCATTGCATCTAATCTTGTTTCAATATTCTTGTGGATTTTCATGACTTTGTCACAAAAATAATCACCTAGTGGCTAGGTCATTCACAAACTTAACAGTACTACAAGGTATCAGAGGTTGTTTATTAAACATGTTCAATAGAGACTTAACAACACTGAATAACTTAATTGTTTTGATTATTCTTATTTTCCATGAACAGATCTCTGTGATATTTTCTATGAGCTCAATTGTTCAAAAGTTTCAATGTTGCATTTCGAACAGACTTATAGTTGTCCCAATCACTATCGGCCCTAGTTTTCAACCTACGCTTTTCAGCCTTTCTCTTTTTCCTTTTTTCTGTATAACACGGTACTGGGACGTAGAACTACCTGTTTAGTAACAACAGGAGCATGTTTCGCCAAGAAGTTACCAGCAATGGAGTTACAGCCAGCAATTTTACAACCAGAAGTAATACGTAACACTCGAGATAACGACCGACATCAGAGTGCCGCTCGCCGGAATTTGCCCAAAGGCGACAGCTAGGCCGCTCTCTGATGTACAAGCTTCCAAGCCGCCGTCCAAACCCATTCACATTGAGTGGAGTAAAGATTCGCAAACGAACAAAGCAACTGGGCATGCGCAGTCCCGACCTACTATTCATGAGCATGCGCAGTTGTTGTTATTGAATACACCAGTTTACAGTTGTATCAGTGCGCATGCGCAGACAGTTGACCTCGGGTCATTGGCCCCGGAATCGGGGCCAATAACCTTTGACGAGTGGTATTTATGCGTAAATTAAGATTGCGGCCATGCAAATTATGATTTGCGCGCACAACGCAGCGCGTAGGCAGTGATATCATCATAATTTGCATGGGCGCAATCTTAATTTACGCATAAATACATGACCTCTAGGTCAGTGGCGGATCCAGGGGGGGGGGGGGCCCGGGCCCCCCCCCCCCCCCCCTTGAGAAAAAAATCATGTAAAATCACATGATTTTTACCTTTTTGGGGGGTTGGGCCCCCCCCCCACCCTGGCGCTCAAGGGGGGGGGGGGTGCAAATTGAAATTTTTTTGAGGATCAAAAAAAAAAAAATGTGCTCACTACCCCCCCCCCCCCCCCCCCCCCCCCCCCCCCCCCCCCCCCCACACTGAGCGACTTTTCTGCCGGCGCGATTTTCAAATTTTCGGGAGCAAAAAAAAAAAAAGTTGGGCCCCCTCCCCTAAGAAATCCTGGATCCGCGCCTGCTCTAGGTCATTGGCTTTGTTTAAAATGGCGAACACAACTGTAAACTGGTGTATTCCATTTGTTTTTCTGATTCCAACGATGTATTTTTTGTCAAAATCTACCCAGAAATGGGCTAGTTATGATACTTTTTATGACTCCATATTAAATTTTAGTACTAATTTCATGATTTGTTATAAATATGTTCCGATCATTTGCGGAATTTAGATTGTATTTCATTCGAAAGAGCATGTTTTTATCTTTGAAACCCACTCATATAATCGCGCAAGGCTATTTCCTCAAAATATTGCAAAACCGACACAGAATGCAATGTACGGGACCAAAAACGAAGTCATTACTCAAACGTTTGTGCTTCCTTTTAATAGATCTAGTCTTAATTGTAATAATACTTCAACAAACTCATTATGAATTCCGATTTTCGAATCATCAGGAAAGAGTTTCAATTCACCGATTTCAGATAACAAAGATAACTTGTCATTTAAATTGAAGTCGTACTCGGGATCGGTGCTTTCAGTCATTGTTTACAATTGTCAAAATAGTAAGAAAGCAAATACGAAAGTAGCAACTGCGCATGCTCACACTGTGCAATACCTAGAGCGAACCCGAAACAGCTGTCGTAAATCATCTTGCGAACACCCGCTGAGTTTATGAGTCGGCTTCGAATCTCGCTCAGACGGCTCTCGCTAGCTAGTTCTCCATTGCCGGTAACTTCTTGGTTTCTCTATTTTAAGCCTAGTATCATACAACAAAGCTAGTTCAGTGAGGACACTAGGTGTGTGCATACAGAGCTCACTTTCAGCGATGTCTAACTTTAATCTATTCACATCAATAGCAGACAGCTTTCAAAATGATATCAGTTTAGAAGGCAATGGAGGTTTACAAGAAAACACATGACTGGAATGTGATCAGATAATAAAGAACTATGTGGCCATGCATGGTGACCCAAATACGATATCATCAGACTGACGACATATCATATGAGGTCAAGGGTGTGACCGCGTGTACATGTGTAGAGAAATTAACCAATTGTTTACAACAAATAGATTCAAGAAGATATATATAAGGAGAAGGAGGCTACGAAAGCTACGTGGTTCTTAGGTGGTGATTGGGTGCCGTATTTGTATTTTGAATTGGCCAGACGTGGCACTGATGAAGAAGGCTGATGAACAAGGCTGATGTAAAAGCAGTCTGACCGCGTTACTTCCGTGCTTGCTATACATTAAATGTTTAAAAGCACTGTCATAATAACTTTTATGGAAGCGCGAAAACTCATTCTCTCGATGCTAATACAACCAGCTTATAAGAACATGAACTCTACATAAGCCATTAAGGAATAGGTACGAAAACATCTTCACACCCCTATATGCGCGATGCGCAGTATCTCAATTTGATGAGCTTTGCAATGGTACATATTCTTTAGAAAGAGGTTTATTAAAGTGTAAAGCCCATTCCTCGCTCTAAAACAAAAAATTAATGCGAAATTGACAACTTTTATTACTTCCTTTAAACTTTTCATGATAGAAGTGAAAACTGACCTTCTATCTTTCCCAGTGAAGGCGACCGATAGTGCACCATGGCGTATGTATCTGTATGGAAAAGTGATATTGGAAAATACATAAATTTATTATCACGTGTAAACAAAAATTGATATTTGCCCATGTTAATGATAGTATGGCCCAATTCCTTTCGCCATTTCGCATTATGACCGAGTAGAATTTTAGTGGACTTTTTGGTGGACATTTCAATTTACTATGAGAAATAATACTGTTTTCATAGAATCATTATTAGCATTTGTTTGTTTGTTTTATTTCCGTATAAAAGACATCATGCATTCAGTAATATAATAACAAATAGAATAATGAATAACAAGATAAAATAAACGGCTGGATAGCCCATATTCAGCGGTATCATTATGATACCGCTGGTCTTCCATGGGGACCAGAAATGATACAGTAAAACAATACAATAAATAACAATATACATTAACAAACGACAAAGAAAAACGACAAAGAAAAAATGGCAAAACATAAATTCTCAAGCAAAATATAGTAAGAAATTAAATATCCAGGACAGACAGTATAGAGAAAAGAAACTGGTATTTATAGAAAGAGAATTGTGTGAAGTAAACTTATAAAAAAACTTATTAGCATTAAGGTAAGAAGCTATTTTCCTTTAAAATGAACCACCCTCAATCACAATAACATGAATTACCATATCATTTTATAATACTAATCGAATCACTTTCATTAAAACATAAACAGGTAAGGTAACTTGGAACCCTAAATTTTCTGTATTACTAGTCAAACTTGTTATAATCCCTATCTTTTTGTTGACGTTAAATACATTTTTATTATGTTATTAATTTATTGTTACTTAATTGATCTTGGTATCACTTTTATTTTACTGATTTTTTTATTCTATTGTATTTGTAATTATATTTCTAATCAAAATTTGTGACTCTGCCTTTTGTCATTTTGAATGTACGTAACATCTATGATTTTTTTAAAATTAATATAAGTAAGGATGACGATTTGATTATAGAGTGGGATAACCTCTTACCAACAGCTTGAGAAACAAACAAGGCATTAGATCACAATTATCCTTGATGTTATTTAACAACATGTTATGAAGGCTATGTAATATAGTATGTATCGACTTGTAGGATGTATAATTTAACATTTCACGACCACACAAGAGTTATATTTTCACTCTTGATCATATTTTTCCCCATGCAGAGCTGCGCGCTAAATGAGAATGTAAACCCTTTATGATATAAAATAAGCAGTATATTATCATATCAAATATATTTTCGCTATTCCAAAACTGCCATGCCATTGCACTTGTAACAAGTCAACGCAAAGTATAGCATCCCCTCGCAGGGTACAAATGGCATATATACATCAAAACAAGTTACTTCCATTGGACTATACTATTATATTACTAGGCAAGGAAGTTAACCACATTTTCACATATATAATTAGGTGTTTTTGCATATTTAATGAGCTATGGCCTTTCACCTTTGACCTACATACCGGTACTTGGAAATCAAACTTAGGCTGTACATGTATTTTTATACCATGTACCTTCATATTAAATTTCATTAAAATTAGTCAAACATTATTCAAGTTATCGAATGGAAACCAGATTCGCATATTTAATGAGCTATGACCTTTGACCTACATACTCCGAAATCGAACTTGGCTGTGTTTGATACAATGAACCTTCATATCAAATTTCATTAAAATCCGTCAAACAATACTAAAGTTATTTTAACATATTTGTGGCTTACACCTAGTAAATAAGATCGATTGATCGATCTGTATTGAAAAACAAGTCAGAAAACATCTTGGAACCAGCGTGACTTGAACCTGCATCTACTACTTCAAGTCCCGCTGGTTTCAAGAATTTTTCTGACTTGTTTTTCAATACAGATCGATCAATCGTTCTTATTTACTGGGTGTAAGCCACAAATATGTTTAAATAATTGAAATTTCTCCCAGGAAGCATTACATTTGTAAAAAATACTAAAGTTATGGATCGGAAGCCAGATTCGCATATTTAATGAGCTATGACCTTTGAATTACATACTCAGAAATTGAAATAAGGCTGTGTTTTGGTACCATGTACATTCATATTAAATTTCATTAAAATTTGTCAAACATTACTCAAGTTATCGAATGGAAACCAGATTCGCATATTTAATGAGCTATGAACTTTGACCTTTGACCTACGTACTCCAATATCGAACTTAGCCTGTATTTTGATATCATTTACCTTCATATCAAATTTCATTAAAATCCATTAAACATTACTGAAGTTATCGATCGGAAACCAAATTTGTTACGGACGCACGGAAGGAAGGACGGAAGGACGGACAGCAGCGTTACTATATCCCCTCCGACTTCATCGGCGAGGGGATACAGGGAAGATGATGACAACTATTAAACAGATATTGACTGATAGGGTGTGTAATATAACCATTTTTGAACCGCCGAAGGAAGCTATAATTTCGTAAAGGGTTTACATTTTCATTTAGCGCGCAGCCCTGGGGAAAAATATGATCAAGAGTGAAAATATAACTCTTGTGTGGTCGTGAAATGTTAAATTATACATCCTACAAGTCGATACATACTATATTACATAGCCTTCATAACACGTTGTTATATAACATCAAGGATAATTGCGATCTAATGCCTTGTTTGTTTCTCGAGCCGTCCAGCCTTCCGCTTCAGATTCATGTGGCTTAGACAGCGCAAACAATCCATACACGCTAGTGCGCCCAGGGGACAGTGCTTAGATCGATATGAACCCAAAATTTACTAATTTGAACAGTTGGTAAATATAACATTGAAAAATGACAGAGAGTGAAAATATGCTAATTACGTACAATCAACTCAATCTCTAACACGTGACGAGCATTTGACCAATCACAACTTTGTATCTATAAGAACTATCTAATATATAAATATACCTTGACCCCTCTGTAGTTTCCTTCGATGCCACAGTACGATTGAAATACAGATCACAGCCAATAGAACGATGAATATAACTGGTACAACTGTAGATGAATGAAAGATATGGTAAATAGACAGGAGCGTTTTGTTGTAAAGTCTTGATATCAGAAAAAACCTGTAGATTGTTGTACGCCTTTCTTAAAGGTGCAATTCAAAGAAAATCACAAATATGTCAACTAATGTATCCCTAGAAACTGGTAAGCTAATAGATGGCCATCGTACAAGTTTTAGGTCAACTACATATCGGGTGATTTATAAAAATAAAAATACAACCACCTCCATAGCAGCTGGGATATACGAGAGATTCGCCGGAAAAATAACAATGTTTTAATGACGTCACGATATGGACAAATACTCCCCAACCAGACGATATCCCATAAAGAATGAACATAATTGCAAAGCTATTATTTGTCAAATTGAGTTTAGTGTATATAAATGTAATGGCATGTCAAACCATTCAAAAGGGGATATGACCCGATTCTGATAACTTAAATCTTTTGCTTGTAAATTACACAGGATAGGGGTTAAAACAATCAAAGAAACCAGACTTTCAAATTGAAAAAACCCCGGAATGATATTAAGGACGACATTTGTTCTCTCTTGAAACGCCAAACATACCGTGGTGTGTGCAGCTGAATATACAATGGCGTCTTATTTTGTTTACAAGCGACAGATTCCTATATTTTTGTATCGCTGCATTTGTCATCAAAATAAAACCATGCGCGGGGTTTAGAGTGAGGCAATAGATTATACATTTAGCCTGATGGTAGTGAAGTAAGAGAAAGAACTCAAGAGAAGATGAAAACACAGGCACTGAAAATGTGTGAGATGTCATAGGACATCGTCTGCTTGTGCAAATTATGTCCATACTGTGATCTCACACATCTCAGTAGCGTTGGGAGAGCTCTTCAGGTGCTATGCCGGGGCTGTATTTAAGCGTTTTGTAATTTATAATAATCATTACTCCGAATGTTTCCAAGCATTGAATTTTGATAACCTTGTCGAATCAGAGTTTCAACTTTGCAATAATGAAAATAAAGTTAGTTTTTAAAATCAATTAATATCTACTTTAAACAGTGTTGTAGCATATAGTATAACACGTACCTTGAAATAAAAATGTTTTTTAGCAGAGTCTAATATCTAGCTATTTTCCTTTTCTGATTTTGTACATAAATGGTTTAAATAATGACATGGAAGAATACAAATGTTCTTACCAACTTTAGCTGCACTTCCATCTGTCTTGTCAATCGGAATTGTGGATCCAGTAGGCAAGGGAGAAGAGCTTGTTCGTAGGTTAACTAAAACAGTTCTCGTTCTCTGCTCTGCCGATCCAGGAATAGACGCAAAACAAACATAGCTGATTTCACTGGCTGTAGCGTTGGCGTATATGGTTTTGTTTTTCGTCCCGTCAATATTTGTAACTTCAATCGTGTCTTTCGTGTGCAGACTTGTGGATCCATGTAGAAAGTAAAGATCGATATCTGGAAAGTAACCTGACGCAGAGCAGCTTATCTCGACTGATTGGTTAGTTGAAATAGTACAGGTAGTTTCAGTGTCAGTTGGAGAGTTCATTTGACATTCATTGATGATTGGGTAGGGTTCCATAGGAGGAGCTATAAAAAGAAACAATGTTCCAAATCATTGAATATCTTTCTTTGAAATAAAACAGGCATGTTCCTAAAGAAATATCTTTTGCGGTATCTTACAATATTTGTCTAACTTTGTATGCAAGAAATCTGATGACATAGAAGAAGGGCTTTCTGGGTCCCTATTTTCTCTCTATTTTTTCTTCCCTGTTTTTAAATCATCTTTAATAGAAAGGATTGAAATATATCTGATTAGACAGCGCTTCAAGAGAGTTAAACAACTAAGAATAAGAACTAACCCATTACTCACAAAAAACACTGATGTCTGTAAAGTTGTGTATCTGTCTCCCCTTGTAGTTTGTGACCCTGCATAAATATGGTCCTTGTTCTACAATGCTGACTTCTTTGATGATTAAGGAGAACTCTGCATTCATCTCCATGATCTGACATGGCCTTTCACCTACACATGATCCTGTAACAGGGTCTCCTGTAATCCATGAGACGAGGGTTGGTGCACGTATTGGATCATCTCCTTTCTTCCAGTAGACAGCTAAAGGTGTCCCACGAAACTGACATTTCAGGACAACACTGTCCCCGGTTCTTACTGTTTTATGTAAATCAGTGTACACAACATCATCAGGAACATCACAAGCAACACCTGTATAAAAAATATGGGATCAATGGAAAGGGGTAAATAATGCCCAGTACCACCTTCTTCGGCATAATCATGAAAGAGAATGGCAATTTCAATGTAAATTTGTAGGATCTTTTGCTGGCTTAATTTGGACAATGCATCGGTCGCTCAGGTAATAGAAACGAACTGATCTGACAAACAGGATTTCTTTTCAGGCTGTATAATAATTCTATTAATGACAGTGCTCTAAAATGAAAACACGGTAAAGTGAAAAAAGTTTTTGATAGACATGCTATTATTGTTCATAAGATTTGCCAGTAGACGGTTCTTTTACCTAGGACCTCTCGTCAAACTAGCTGTGAGACCAACCAGGGGGCACCAGATGCGGAGGAAAGTTTTACTCTACAACAAAGCTCAGTGGGAGAAGTTTGCTGAGAGCATGGAAGCAGTCAGGAGATGAGATTGAAGCTTAACTTCCATATGCCTCTGTTTAATGAACTACATGTATGGCTCATCTTCAAGACTGGCATCGAGAAGGGCACCAATGACTTCATTCCTCAAAAGCTGACTCCACACAAAGCCAACTTACCATGGGTGACAAATAGCATCAGACGACTCATCAAGAAACGTGACAGACTGAGCAACAAGTGCAGACACCTCTGGAAGAGAGAGGGCCTCGTTCCATATGCTCTGGAAGAGCAGCTCTGTGATCTCAAAAAAACACTCCAATCCACACTCAGGAAAGCTTACTGAACTATGTTGAGTTCATCTTTACTGTTGAAGATGATGACGAAAGACCAGGGAAGTACAACTGCATGAAGAGATTCTGGCAATTCATCAAGAATAACAGAACTGACAGTGCTGGAATTGCGGAACTCAAATCTGACGGCGTGCTATTCAGTGAACCTGCTGAGAAAGCTGATGCCCTGAATAGACAGTTCAAGAAGGTTTTTACACAGGAAATTCCAATCCCTCCTCATCTGTTGCCAGATACTTCTGACCACTAATCGATGCCTGACATAGTGATAACCGTGAAGGGTAAACAATGACAATGAAGTCCATATATTGTACACATGCTTATTAGCTCATTATGCTAATTATGCTATTTAAGACAATTGCATTACTTGGAATCAAAAACTGGTGTCATAGATGAATTCCTCTTCATAGAAAACACTTGAAAAGTCATATTATCCATGTTTTCTGGCTTCCTGGATTGAGATTAGCAACATTATTACATGTTGCACATATGCTAATTAGATGATTATGCTAATATGGCTATTAAAAAAGTTGCTCAAGGTTGCCAAGCTGGCAACCAAGCTGAATTTACATCAATACCCATCTAGAACACAAATCAATAAAAAAACCTTGTACTTTTCCAGGTCATGTACATGGTATATGGTACCGTCTACTGGACTACAAGACCCTCTTGAACTACAGGAGGACCTTAATAGGCTTGCTGAATGGTCCTCTGAATGGATGATGGAGCTCAATACAGACAAGTACAAGGCCATCACAGTGTCCGGGAAGAAGAGCCAGATACGACACCAGTACATCCTGAACAACACACCACTGGAAGCAGTCTCATCAACCAAGTACCTTGGCATCACTATCACATCTGACTTGAAATGGGACAAACACATCACAAGCATATGCCAGAAAGCAAACAACACCCTCGCCTTCCTCAGACGAAATCTCTGGATCAACTCACCAAAACCGAAGAGTACTGCCTACAAAGCTCTAGTAAGACCACTCATTGAGTACAGTTCTACAGCTTGGGATCCCTCCTCTGCAAACCACATCCATCAAATAGAAATGGTACAAAGATGGGCCGCTATATTCACCCTCAATCGGTACCACAGCACCTCTAGCGTGACCTCCATGCTCCAACAACTTGACTGGACCACACTCGAGCAACGCAGAGAAAATTGCAGACTGGTGATGCTGTACAAGCTCCACAACAACCTGGTAGCACTCGACACAGCATCCTACATCAACCCTGCCACAAGACCATCCAGGACTGCCCATGCACATAGCTACCAAGTCCTCCGTTCAAGAACTGAGCAACATAAGCAGTCCTTCTTTCCCAGGATTGTGAGGAGTTGGAACAACCTGCCATCAGAAACAGTATGTGCCTCATCAGTCAATGCCTTCCGTCAATGCCTGACGGGAGGCAGCAGCAAAGTCCGGGAACTTTTTACTTGCACCATGTAAATAGCATTGCACCATGCACCTTGCTTTCGTAAGCACACACACACACACTCATCAGTCTGCAAGAATCTTCAACTGTGAAGGAGGTAGACTTAACCCAAAGAAGAAGAAGAAGAAGGACTACATTTCCTTGTTTTCGGAAAGGCTTTAAATATGGAGGTGGTACAGTTGTTTTAACAAAAAAGAGGCATCAAATAACAGTTCCAAAGCATCATAAGGAAAAACACTTTTTACTTATACTGTTTGGTTAATCAAATGCTCAATTTACCGGTAATCCATGCCAAACTAATTTTTACTCCATTCACCATTGGGTCACACAAATTGGGCTTACATCAAAAGGGTGCGGTGCGGTGCGGCGCGGCGTGTTGAGTTCAACGCACCCATTCGATAAAAGGCCCCCCGCTTTTCTCGAAAGGGTGCGTTGAGAACGGTGGACCGTCTTAGCACACCCTTAATTTCGAGAAAAGAGGGGGTCTTTTCTCGACAGGGTGCGTCGACTAGTCTTTTACATCAGTCATTTAAAATGTTTAAGGAATAGAAATGTCGTTTTATAAAGTGAAATAATCAAAACTGAAACTACTTTTTGCGTAGTCTTGCAGATCAGGCATTTATAAGAATTAAATCATTAAATAAAAAGAAACACATATACAAAAAGTATATTGAAGGAAAATAGGAAGAACGAGAGCAAGAAAGAAAGAATAGTTAGCTGCCAGTGTCACAAAATAATGAGGTATCAAAATATGCTCATCTGACCGTGATTAAATCCCTAAAAACCCTCAGCTTCAGGGGCTCTGGCCCCTGGACCCTTTCGATGTAAGCCCACAAATTGTACATAATCTGAAGGAAACAAAAAAGGGGTCTGATGTTGATTTCATTGTCGCGAAAGTGTGCCTTGAGAAGTCTTCCACATCAGACATTTATAGTAGAATTTAAGGAATAGATATATTCAAGTCGTTTAAATTGAAATAATCACAATTGAAACAGATTGAAAATTAACAATAACTAGTTCTTACACAGTCTTGCAGATCAGTCGTTTATAAGAATTAAATCAATAAATAACACGAAACACAAACAAATGAAAAATTGAATGAGAAAAACTGATGATGAGTAAAGCTTTACGAAAGGGCATCAGAGCACCGACTTGGGTTTGAACCCCAATTTGTTTTGGCAAAGTGAGAAAAAAAAGGGGGAAAAAGCATATTGTGAACCCCTAATTTTTCATTGGGTCAATTTTCTCTTTAATCAAATTAAATTAAATATAAGATGAATTCATAAACGTGATAGTAACTTTGCGACTTATTTTTATTTCTAATTTTATTTGTAAGGACTGTTAATTATGCAAGACTATTTTACATTAAAAATTATTTTTTTGTTATTTTAATAAATAAACACCTGATATTCAAGACTAGGTAAACACCTTTATTTGAAATTGTAGAATATTTAAGTAATTTATTTGATTAAATGTTTCATGTAATTTATTGATTTAGTTCTTATAAACGCCTGATCTGGAAGACTACTCAAAAGTAGCTAGTTTATTACGACTGCCTTGAACATGCAAGCCGAGAAGCCTGTTAAATGTACCGAACCAGACTGGCCAGAAGATACACACAAAACGGTCATTGATTTTGTGTAGACAGCAAGCCTGTCTCCTGTCTGGATTTTCCGCAAAATGCGCAAAATTGAACAGCTACGATTTTTTTTCTTTTCTGCTTCCATTTAATTTTGTTAATGCAACTTGAATTTGGCGTAAATATTCATAAATAAATGATGCACACCAATAAAAACTTAAACAACAACATCATGTAATATTCAATCTGTTACAACTTTGATTACCGGTATTTCAATTTTAAAATCATTTAAATTTCTATGTCTTAGGTACACATCGGGCCTCTGGAGATTTTAGCTGAATAGCCTGCTGACACATGGGAATAGATCATTATGTTGGCGTTCAGTATCCAGCCTCTCATGGTTGCAGTATATAGTACTTGTTGTTGTTGTTATAATAGTTATCTATTATTAGTATATTGTTCTGGTTGTTGAGCAGAGATTGTTACAACTTCAATAGATAATTGTTATACATGTACTTATTTTAATCTTACAATTAGTACAGGTACAGCTTAGAACATAGAGTTAGATTGTATATACCTAGTATAGTTAATTATCTTTGTCAGATTTGTTGTTATTATACTCATCATGTTTATACTCAGCTCTCTTCCCTATATATCTATGTAACATATGTTTTATGGACTTCTGCCTTGTGCAGCTGAGTCTGAAATAAACAAAGTTCTGAATTGAAATTGAATTATTCCTTAAATTCATTTATAAACGACTGATGTGGAAGACTAGTAACCGCACTCTTTCGCGGTATAAACTTCATGCACTGTACTACTACTAGCTAGTAGTAGGAGTGCCTCCAACCATGGGCCAAATTATACAGTTCCCCAAAGTTGACAGCCGGGCGCGGGCCCTGGTTAAACATAATGGTGGAATCTCTATTCATTCTCTTACCTGAAATGTAGCAAGATATCATAACAATACCCACACATGTCGCGATAAGCCAGAGACTGCCGATACGAGGGTCCATCTTAATTGGTCGTGATCGTATAAACGAGTGGTAATAATGATCACCATCAATCGACCACCACACCTATACACACCTGGGTTTTTCCAGCATAACGTCAAAGGGGAGTCCCCGAATGTCAAATTCAAATCGTAGAGGGCAAACGTCTCACCCCGTTTTTTGGTCCGTTTTGCATAGATTTGCCAACTCGTATACTACCGGTAGTACTCAGTGGCGTAATGAGCAAAAACGTTGGGGGGGGGGGACAAAACAAATCCGCATGACCCCGCTGTTACACGCAGGCCCTGCTGAACGTTTTTCAAAGTGGGTGGGGGAGACTATGTACAATCAGGTAGAGCGTAGCATAAATTGGCGTGGGGTCCAGGGGGCTGACGCTCAGGGGGTTTTAGGCATTAAATTACCGCCAGATATGAGCATCCCCGGGCCCGCCTTATTAGGGTCCAGGGGACAGAGCCCCCGGAAGCTCAGAGTATTTATGCATACGGTCAGATGAGCATACTGGCAGGACATTAATTGGCGTGGGTCAAGGGGCGGAGCCCCAGAAGCTCAGGGATTTTAGGCATTAAATTACCGCCCAACATCCAGGGGCCCGCCTTAGGGCCCAATGTGGGTCCAGGGTCCGAGCTCCCGTAAGCTCAGGTGTTTTAGGCATCTAATCTGATGAGCGTATTTTAATATCTCATTATTTGTTGACACTGGACACTGGCCGGCCATTATTCTGTCTTTCTTCCTCTCTTTCGTTTTTTGTTCTATTTCTCTTTAATATACTTTTTCAAAAAAGTGTGTCGGGGGGGGGGGGCTCGAGCCCCCGAGCCACGCCGTTCAGTGGGCCCTGACATGTAGGCCTCTAAATAAGCATATTTCTTGCTTGACTGTAAATTGGGAATTTGTCATTTTTCAACATAATTATAGGCATACAAAAGTACTAAAAAGTGCAAAAAAATCCCGGAAAATGAAGCTTTTCACATTATTTGTAAATTATTGATTTGACTGTAATCGAATTAAAAATAAACCACATTTGATTTTTGTTTTGGGCCCCTTCCCATCAGTACGCCACATATGGAAACGTTTGCTTTGATTTGTCTCATAAAAGAAGTTCACCACAAACTGACTCCCACACGGTGTTGAGTGCTCAGGGGTCACGGGCCACTGGCTTCACCGGGCAGGTAGTTCCATTATGTGAATGGGTAAATTAACTATTACAAAATGAGGGGACACATTACATTGTACAATAGGGACACACATTGTTTTTATTGTGCAGAACATACTCTTTTATTGACTTACTTATTGCATACAACTATAAAAACAAAATGCATTTTGTATTCTAACAATTGGAGTACAAAGAATAATAACAGGTGAATGAAATGCATTAAACATCACAAACACCTGGGGAGGAAGCATTCATAAATTTGAATACATATAGTTGATAAACATTGGAGTACAAAGAATGATAGCAGGTGAATAAAAATGCTTCAACAGCAACACAAACACCTGGGAAGCTAGGAAGCATCCATAAATTTGAATAATTTAATTGATAAACGACTCCGCATGTGAATGTTTGTTGGAGCAGAAAGCAGTGGATTCTTAACAACTCGAACACATTTAACAGAATGTCGGAACGTAAATTAAATTTGGCGCGGTTGGAAATGCATCTTTCTACCCTGCGACTTTAATGGTACGATCCAGTAAATTAAAACAGTAAAATGGCTCTTATTTTAAAATTACTCATTAAATAAAACCCAAAACTTCAGTGATATCAGAAAAAATATGTTATATCTTACTAGTAATTAAAAAAGATATATAAACATTGTGAAAGTGTCGCATTTTACGATAAAAGACACCGATTTAGCGAAGATGAACTCATTAGTGCGCTTGCATCAGGGAATTCAAGGTCAAAAGGTCAATTCAGACGCTGATAAATTATTGGTCGAGCCTTTTTGTTTCCTTTATTCCGACATAATTATACAATCAATCAAAACAAGTTTAATGCCAAAAGAAAGCTAATGATTAGTATTTTCATTAACCGCTTGCCCCAAAGTCGCTTGACCAAAGTGAAACGAGTGAGAGCTTGCGAGAGCGGCCAAAGTGTGATTGAAACTCGCTATTTGTTATTCTTCAACGCAAAAAGAGTCGTCATTGTGCTGGATAAATGTATTTTTTCCGACGAAAGTACAGAAAATTTGCATATGGTCTTTTTATATTATACTTTATGAAATGTTACCCGAGTGACTTCCGGGCGCCCCAATGCTGGAAAGACACGCACATTTTAGAAAACTTCACTTTTTCATGGAAAAATGCTTATTTGTTCTATGCACGCAAGTCAGATTGAGCGGATGATACAACGTTTCCATATGTGGTGTACAGTGGCATATCTGGCGCTTTGTCTTGGAGGGGGGGGGGGGGGGGGGGGGGGGGGGAGGGGGGGGGGAGGGCGAGAGCGGCGCAATCTTTTCCCCTTTCTTCTTCCTCTTTAAACAAAATTATTTCCCTTTCTCTCCTCTTAATTCCCATTTTCCTCCCTTCCTTCTCTCTCTCTCTCTCTCTCTCTCTCTTGCTGAGAGAGGGGGAAGGGGGCAGGGGTGTGGGGGGGGGGGAGGCCGATTTCAACCCCCCGGTCCATACCTAGCTTGTTTGCGGGAAAAATCGCAACTGATCTCCCCTACCCGGTCTTCCTCTGTTTTCTTCTTCCTTTCCCTTCCTTTCCTCTCTTTTAAGTTTGCTGGGGGCGAAAATTAAGTGCATTTCGCCCCCAGCCCCGATCCACGTCGTTGTTGGCTTGGTTAATTGCAACCGATCTCTCCTTCTTTTCACCCTTTTCTTTTCTTCTTCCTCTTTTTTGTTCCCTTTTAGCTTTCCCCTTTCCTTTCCCTTCCTTCTCTCTCTTTTATTTCCTTTGGCGTGGGGGGGGGGGGGGTAAGGGCCTCCCCCCCCGATTTTGATCACTGTTTGTTGCAATCCCGGGGGGGGGGGATACGGTTTGGACGGGGTGTGCCGCTCAAGCCTCGAAACCCATATCCATTATTAAGGGGTATTGGGGACATTTTTGTAAAAGAATTGGATGCTCGTCACATGAAATTTTGAAAAAAACGGACCCATTTTTAATTATTTTTTCGTTAAAAGTGGGACCCATGTTTAGGGATTTAAAAAATTTGTTTTACCCATTAGAGCGACACACCTCCGTAATAATGAGTACTCCCCCCCCCCCCCCCCCCCCCCCGGTTTCAATTCAGTTTTTTCAAACAGCTCGTTGCAACGAACTCAAACCAAATTCAATGGCTCGTTGGCACAGCTAGAACTCTGAAATAACTTTAGCGCCATCTATTGTTATAGAACTGTTTCGTGTGGGTGGTACTAGTTTAGCTACAAGGAGCTATCAGGGTATTCTGTACTCGCACAGTCATTACCTTGTAGTGCTAAATCACCCCATTCGTTTTATAAGGGTAAAGGACAATCTCAGACCCTTTCTTTAGGGAGGAGTAAGGAATACCTTAGGACTTCTACAGGAGTAATCATTTATATGTTCGTAAAGTTTTTCTGCCGCCTCTTACGAAAAAAGAAAACTAGCAAAAGCCTGTGTTGAGGCTATAGAAGTGTTATTGTCAAAGTTGTTGGTAGAGTACAGTGGGTAGAGGATAGTTCCTGGGTCTCAATATTACCTTCAAATAATAAAACAAGCAATATAAAATATGTTTTGAAATAATTTAAAAAACCGCAATATAGGTATGTTTTGAAAAGTGAATAGAGGTGGGTTAAGGGGAGGGAATCAAATGCCTAGTATAATGGGGAGTTGAAGACGACTTGAAATATAAAACCATCATGAAGTGACTATGCTTGCAATTAGTTTTTTCTCGCATATGGCATTGCAGAAAAGGAAAGAAGAACTAGAAAGGAAAAAACAAACAAACAAACACACTAACAAACAAACAAATTGAGAAAGATAGATAGAAAGAAAGAATAAAACAATATTGAAGAAAGGAGAGAAAGAAAGAAATGAAGGAAAAGTTAGAAGATATCTCTTTCTTTGGCAAGCTCTGTATCCTGTACAAAAGTGGTTCACGCATACAGCGCATGCGCAGTAGCTTTGTAAGGTAATATTGAGACCCAGGAACTACCAGTACAGTGAGAGCATAGAGATATATACTACTAATATCTCTATGACTATGAGTGAGAGGGGTTTTCGAGAGTGGTCTTTGACCAAGTCGCTCTGCGGAATAAAATTTGCCGATGTGACGCGTTAGTGGTACGGAAAAAAATAATCGCGTCCCCAACTTTTTTCTTGGACAACTAACACATCTGAAGCATGCCAATTTAGTGCAGTGAAGCTCCGCGGAACGTACTATAGGCCCCTATACAGTGCGAGTCAAACTCTTTTGCAATTTGAGAACCACATTTGGCGCATTAATGTCCACCGGCATGCACTTCGTGGAAAAAAACAAGGCCTTCTGATTGGTTAGAAGTTAGAGAAAAGTGATCTGTCACGTCGATAGACGCTGTGCTTCATTGCTGCACAATGCACAAAGAGAGTGGTCAGGTACTTCACTTCAGTAGTGTACACTTTATTGTTACCAGGGGCGTCGCTATATAGACATATTCAGTGGGGGGGGGGGGTGTATATAGAGGCCACCGATTACCGACAATACTAGCCACCAATTACCGACAAATATTATGCCAATGTCCCAATGTCTACAAATTCAACCCTATAAACCTAGGGGCTAGAAACTAAGTTATTTTTCAGTTTCCATCCTCCCGCGCAAAGCGCGGAAGCTTTGGCACTTCATTAAATTATTAGAGAAAGATGACAATTCGTTGTATACCGTTCCCGACTCTAATTCTTGTTTCGCCCCTCCCGCGCGAATCGCAGAAGCTATGACGTTACATTAAATCATTAGAGAAAGAAGAAGATTCGTTGTACCGTTTTCAAATCTTAATCCTTGTCTAAATTCCTTTTTCGCCCCTGACTATACGTCTTTTATAGTAAAACTATTCTTTTTCTTGTTGTGTACACCAGGCGCGTACCAGGCGCGTACGAGGTGAC